ACAAAAATCACATTCCCGAATAGCCCCGATCCAAGTGCACAACATATCCAAAAAGTGCACAGATCTGCTTGGTAGAACGAAAGTTCTGTTTGAATAGAGTTTTGACCGACTGGCCATGAGGTGATGGCCCAAAACAGTTCCAGAGGATTGGGCATGATGGACGGTCAGCTTTCGGTGGTTCCTGTGTGAACACAGACTAATGCACCCCCTGTTTGGTAGATCCTATCTCCCGAACATCGTTCATCTAGTTGGTCGGAAAGTGGGACGACCAGCAGTACCATCTTTGCCCATGTTCACGGAGACATGAGGCTGAAAATAGTTCCAGGCGTTGGACCAGGGAAAGCACTCAAGCAAAGTTGTTAATTTGTGGTTAACAGCCAAGGGAGGTCGGTGTTCGCTGGGGCATTACAAGGGGACCACACACCAGCCATTCGGAAGACAAACAAGTGGGTACAGACAACCGAACACAAGGGAATAGTCTGCCACTGCTGGTTAGAGACCCACTTTTTGTCATGCTGCTCAAATGGTTTGACACAAAAGCAGGACACAACACCTATAAACTCATCTCACCATAATCACTTCACTGTACTGTAACAGTTATGATGTTTAGCTTGCCCCTTTTCAGCACATGATGTGCAACAACAGGAAAAAGACTGAATTTGTCATGTTTGATTGTCGGGTTTTTCTTTATTTGGCCAGTCTTTGTTGTTCTACATAATCTTTTCATAGGACTAACGTCACCTCCTAACACTCACTACTTTGCAGGCCGTGGAGCGTTTGATTCACCCAAAGCTTTGTGAACAATGCATTGAGTTTTTGGAGAAGCAGGTAGTTCAGTACATTAACAGCAGCAATGAGCGAGGCGGGGAGGAGGTCCTACATGCCTTTGTTTTAGTCAATACCAAGCTACTAGCATTGTTCTCCAGGTAAGATTTGTAAAATTGTTTTTATCATTAACTCCTTAATACATCGACATGTCACACCTGAGATAGGTCAAGCTTTTGCTGTAGAATGCTGTGAGAGTGCGCAGATCTAAATATTCTGTACTCTGTGAATACAAGGGCTGTTAATACTTTAGAATGTATTATATTTGAATTGTCCATGTTCTCTAGTGTGGTGAGTCTTGCTTTTGTGTTACACTAACCTGCAAAAATACTTCTGTTTCTGTGTCTGAAGTCGAAATTCCAGCTCACTGAGACCTGCAGATCTCCTCTCCTTAATTCTGATTGTTCAAGATTTGTATCCTGGCTCCAGCACACTACATGACCAGCCTTTCCAGGTACTCAAACTTAGATTATATTTAAAGATTGGATTTGTATAAATGAGGACAATGGCCATAGAGTTGGCCAAGCTTTCCAATTGGCATACAGTTAAACATCTTGTCACCACCCTTAAGTGGTTACTCCAACCAAAAAAGAAAAAAAGCTGTATTTTCCTTAAACATGGTATTTGGTTCGAGTAACCTTTACTGCGCAAAACTTACCTCCATTGCAGCACCGAGACCAACTTCTCCCCTCAGTCCATTTCTTCTCCCCTGATGTCATTGCCCCACAACATTATAACTACCTGCCTAATATTGGGTAGGTCCTCTTGGTGCTGTGAAAATAGCTCTGATGTGTTGAGGCATGGACTCCAGAAGACCTCAGAACGTGTCTTGTGGTTTATGGCACTGAAACATTAGCAGCAGATCCTGCAAGTTGTGTGGTGTATCGGATTTGTCATTCTGGCACATCCCACACATGCCAAGGCAACACCTTGAACTCTTTGTCATGATCCTTATACCATTCCTGAACAATTTTTGCAGTGTGACAAGTTTTGAAAGAGGCCACTGCCATCAGAGAACACCATTGCCATGAATGCCAAGGTTTCCCAGCAGAACATTGCCAGGAGCATAACACCGGTTGGTCTGCCTTTTTCCAATAGTGCATCCTGCTGCATCTCAACCTCTGGTATACCATGCACCTGGCCTTCCACCTGATTTCAAAGAAAACGTTATTCATTAGACAAGGCAACCTTCTTCCATTGCTCCATGGTCGAGTTCTGATGCTGACAGTGGACAGAGGTCATTATGGGCACTCTGACCAAAACTGTGATGTACTGTGTGTTCTAATACCATTCTACCCTGGCCAGCATTAGATTTTTCAGCAATTTGAGCTACAGTAGCTCTTCTGTGTGATCAGACCAGGCAGGCTAGCCATCGCTTCCCAAGTGCATCAATGAGCCTTAGGTGCCCATGACCCTGATGCCAGTTGACCAGTTGTTCTTCCTTGTATCACTTTTGGTAGGTACTAACCACTGCATACCGGCAACACCCACAAGACATTACGTTTTGGAGATGCTCTGACCCAGTTATCTAGCCATCACTATTTGCCCTCATCAAAGTCACACAGATCTTTTCGCTTGCCCATTTTATCTGCTTCTAACACATGAAAATCTGACTATGCACTTGCTGCCTAATATATCCCACCCCTTGATAAGTGCCATGGTAACAATATAATCAATGTTATTCACTTCACCTGTCAATGATTTTTATGTTGTGGCTGATCACTTTATATATTCTTCAGCTTGATTCTTTAGAAAATAAGTTAAATAAAAAAGCAAAACATTATTTATATATCCTTTTGAAATTATGTTTTTGAATATATTTTTAATATGATTTAATAAAAACAATGTGATATAGTGATAATTCTTTTATATACAATGTATATTTTGATATTTTAATATTTTGATTTTTTTTTAAATTTATTCAGTTGAGGACAGTCAGGTAAAATATTAATTATTTGCTCATTTGTACATCTTTTAGATTTTATAGTGTGTTAAATGTTTTGTAAAAATATATTTTTATAGTTTATGGTTTCATTTGAGGAGAATAATATATTTATATATAATGAATGTTACAGGGTTAGTGTGTGTAGGGTAAAGGATTTAGTGATTATGGACTTTTAGATTAAAATAGCCACTTGGCCTAAAATATTATTATATTCAGATTTAATTCACGTTTAATTCCCAACAGATCATACTTATGTAAATAACCTTGTTCATGTGTTCACCCTGTTTAAAAATATATAACTGGAGCACAAAATAAACTATCAGTATCTATTGTGTAATCTTCACTAAAGTTTTAGCAATAAAGCTAAACTGTTTTTTTATGTTCGTAACAGTTTGTCCTTCCTTTATTGACCACATGATGTCACCATAGTCCTAAACAGGAATTGTTTTTGAAAAGGGGCAAAAAATTTGAATTTCATGTGTTTTAAAACACTGGAGAACACCAAACTTTGACCCTACAGCTTTTGGGGCCTTCACACCCACCATGCTCAGCTGAACATGATAGGAGCCGTACTCCCCTGTAGCTGAATTGCATTGTATTCACCTGCAGAATGTTCTATATGTGTTATGTTTTTTTCTGATCCTCCAGGAAGCAGAGGAAGAATATTATACCCCAGATCCCTCTCCTAGTACCAGTAGCCTGGGTAAGTTGAAACACAGAGGGCCTGCAATATATTGAAATGCAGAAGGATTGTAACATAATTCTGTTAATCTTTACATACATCTCCGGCTCTATTTCAGTGGAGTGTGTTGCCTTTAGCGAGACCAAACCCATGTGCATGGGTCATAATTGTCCGATCTCATAAAAGGAGTCACAACCACGAGATCCCTATACAATGGACACTAGTTGGCACAAAACAAAGATTGTAAACATTCGTAATGAGCAGAAGGTGATGCTCAAAGTATTTATATTTGTGCAGAGAAAAATGAATACGCTTTCTGCCTTTTATGTTCTGTTTTATAAAAAGCTCACTTAACAAAAAAACAAACAAACAAAAGTTGTTCTGAGCAAGTTAAACCGCCGCCTCCCCCACTCTCTTGAGAATTGCACAGGGTAACTTCTGCTCACCTGTTCCAACTTCACATAGTAGAAAGGAGGAAACCTATATGCAATTTTCAAGAGCATTGTTTGTCATGAACAGAAGGTTTCTTTTGTTGTTAACCAAAAATAGAGGATTTTTTTTTTTTTTTTAATGTGGAAAAGTTTGCCACCCTCATTATCTGGCTCTGTATCAAGGAGGTGAAGCTGTTAGCTGACACAGCCTGTCGTCCTCCTGCTGAGATTTTGGAAAACGATTTCTTTAAACTCTTTTTTTTATTTAAGAAATGTACATACAAAGGCCTTGATGTAAGCATACAAGAACAGTCTGTGGCAATATAATTGATAATGATGTGAAAAAAGCAAATTAAGTTAAGTTGGGTAAATCACACAGTCCCGTGGACAGAAGACCCATGTGGAGGACATTGCAAAGAACAAAGATCTGTATGATTCATTAGGCATAGATATTATCCTAGTTTGATGGCTGTAGCTACATATGCTCATTCTAGAGGTTTCAGTGGTTGCAAAATGATGTATCCCATGAAGTCATGCAACAAAGCTTACTATACAATCACAAAAAAAAACAAAAAACAATCGTTACCCATCCTGAGTTGACAATTAGGTTTATGCCCAATACATTTTGTTGTTTTGATATTCTTACATACTTTTTGTAATTCTTTAGGCACTGGGAGCTGGGTTGATGAGGATCCTGCAGCATCAAATTTTACAGATAATGAAATACAGGTATAGGTTTCTCCATTTCTGATGTTCCTATAGGCTATTTTTCCAAGTATTTGTGTGTAACGGTTTCTCTTTAAATGTTGCTATAGATTGCCGAAGACAGTCTGAAAACCCTGGTTGGTTCACTTCCTGAATCTACGAACACAAGAAGAGTATTTTTGGATGCCAACACGAAGGAGGGGTATTGCCCCATGATGCCACATTCCATGTACTGTCTACCTCTATGGCCTGGAATATGCCTTATTCTATTGACAAAGGTACCTACCTAATCAAAACGCATTCTGTACAGTAGACAAAGAAGTTCTTTATATTAAACACACAATCTTGTGTTACATGAAAAATCAACTGTAGCAAAGGACACAATGGACATTTGTTCTATCAATGAATTCTTGACTGGCATAGAAACACTATTTGACTGTGCAGATGCTCAAAGCTTTATCAGTAACATTATTATTTTATTCCCTCTGTAGAAATAAAACATATATATTTTATATATAATTGAAAGGGTTTTTTAGTTTGTGTATATTAAAGTTCACTTCAAAGAAAATTGAACCTTCAAAAGCTACATTTTCCTTGTTATCCAAAGAGATCCCATATTTTTTGTTATTTTATTTTAATGGACTTTTTTTTTTCTTGGTGTCAGTTGCCTGGCAGCCATATAGCTCTTTCGCTTTACCAGCTCTTAGATGGGTATAGCATGATTGAGAAGAAACTGTTGGAGGGCCAGGATGTTCATCAAGTTCTGCGATCTCATCCATTCATGGCAGACCTTAAACAGAGGACAGAAAGGTTTGTGAAGTCCCTTGGTGGTCGTGAGATACAGGTGTGTAGTCTATCTTTGCCCTAAACAATGCTTACTTACTTCATTGAATAAAAACATGTAAATCGCCAATATTATGTGCTAACTTTTTTCATGTTATGCTCGATTTTTTTTTTGATTTTTTTTTTAAAATTATTATTATTATTATTATTATTATTATTATTATTATAGACTTAACACATGACTAGTCAAGTTTAGTCTAGGCACAGCCAATGCAAATAATGATTAGAACAGAAAAATTGTTCAGAACTAAAAAAAATAAATAAAATGACCCCCTTTTCAAAACACTCTATTTACCATACTATATATATAGTTCTATTAATATGTTAGAACTGCAGCTATAAGCCCACCCACTCATTTGTAAATGATCAGGGGGCTATAATGTTTCAAAATCTCTCAAGATGAAATGAGCCTGTCTGTTAAGTATGTGTATGTGTTCTATAATATTATTTGTTTATAAAATATTTTGCCAGGAAGGATACATTGAGATTTCTCTCATCTTAAAGTATGTCCTGGGCCAACATACATGGCATTGTTACAATAGAACATATTCGTGGTAAAAATACAAAGTAATATTCAAATACAGAGTATAATATTAAAAATACAAAGTAATCTTAAAATATACATATAATTTAAAGGAACACTATAAGGTCAGGAACACACACCTGTAGTGTTAAAACCACCATCCAGCCGCCTCTAGACTTGACATTCACAGATAATCCAATGCTTTCCTATCCTTTAATAAAATATGAAATAAAATATCAGATACCCATCATATCCTGCATGCCATAATATTTATATTGAATTTGGCTTCAAAGGTTTAAGTGCATTAATGTCTGCTTTCTTTTGAAACATATTTTCACATTTATAGTTTGTAATTTTTTTTTTTTAATATTTTTTAAAATAACAAATTTATTTTCTTTCTGTTAAGTTACAAAACACCTGGCTTGAGTTTAAGGCTAAAGCTTTCTCCAGAAGTGAGACTGGGACTACAGCCGAGTAAGTCTGACCTATTTATCTCTGACAAAATTATTGTCCAGAACAAGGGAAAACGTGTGGTCTTTGTTGCATTAATTTACATGACGTAAATAGATTTCATATATGTAATGTATTTTCTCACTACATTTTTCAATCCTGTTTACTTATATTCTACTTTTTGTAATTTTCAGTAGAGTACTTTTCTTTGTGTCTGTTAGGTTCTGAAAACTTCTGTTTGTTTAATTGTTTTTGCCAGAGAATTCAACTGCAATGCTTATCATATTCCTTCTAATATAGTTTTGTAGTATTTTATGTGTAATTCACACAATTATTCTTCCTTCCATTTGCACTAAATGACTTTACTATTGGGTATGATCTCGTGGAAATTCATAATTGCAATTTCTCAGTTGTTAATAGATATCTGTTGTTTCAAGACACTGGATGTCCTCCTGCAGAGCGTGACGACATTCTGCATTGTTTCATGGAGTTAATCTTTATGAGACTGCTGGACGCTCTTCTAGACAGCCAGTAGAGGCACTCTTAACCCTGCAGTGTAAACATTGCTGTATCTCTAAACCTCAATGTTTTACATTGCAGGGTTAAGGTGACAGGAACACAGCACTCGGACTTCTTAATTGAGATGGAGTGCTTGGTCTGGGTGCTTGTAGTGTCCCTTTAACCTTGAGTTTTGGATCTCTGGATATAATTTTATGGTACATTGTACCAATAAAGTTTATTTTACCCTCTCTGCAATTGTCACGGGTGGCAGTCCGGAGACCGGGACCCCTGTATGCCTGAAGATGGTAGGAGTTAGTGTGGAAATGAACAATCGTGGTCTTGTGCAGGGTAATCACATGCCCCCTGGTGTTGAGCACAAGGGTTTGTGCGGCCATATATCAGGGACCTGAAGCAGCTACTGCGGATCCCAGGAGCTTGACATTATGCAGATGTGTATCCAATACTAGAAATAAGGCAATACTAGAATAGGCACCTAACAAGACAAGACTAGAGGAACCCAGAACCGGAGAAGGACAGAAAGCAGAACAAGTACACAAGACATGAGGGAAACAAGAACAGGGCAGGACAGGACGGTACATGAACTGAGAATACTAGACAAAATTAAAACAAGACAAGATAAACTAGGCAAAACAAGAGGAGAAGTAACCAAGTACTAAATATGTAATAAACATTGGAGATTTAGACATACATAAATGGCCAAGATGTATACAGCCCACCACTGCACCAAACTACTCCAATTACGGTGGGTCCTAACTGCCTAGATATGCATGACTAAATAAACAACAATAAAACACACACAGTACTTACCTGCAAAGAAAAGAGCAGAGGAAATGAGACCACTGCTTGCAGGAGCCTACTGAAACAAAAAGTATTAATGGCAAAGGAATGGGTGTGGCAACAATAAAACAAACATTTAAAGGAATCCAAAAGACTGGGAATTCCAGGAACGGAATAAAGGAATGAACCCAGAAAACCCAGCATAAAGAAAACCAGGCGTAGAATAGATAACCAGAAAAACGTAAAAAGAATTGTAAAAAGAGTACTGGATACCAGAAGCCGTGGCCAGAAATGACCCGCAAACAGGAACAGGATGTGACATCAATGCCTGATACAGTGTGGTACTAAAGCTTTCTAGATAGTTAAGGACACCAGGTTTCATGTCTTGTACTATAAATGCGCAATGTATGTTACAATTACAATTTCAGTTACAATTTTTTTTTCTCCTAATTTCTACGTCTCATCTCCAGGCTGCTCCAGGTTTGTGGAAATATGAAACGACAGCTGTGCTCAGTATATCGACAGTTATTTCTGGCCTCTCCAATAAGCGGGACACATTCCCTTACTCCGAATCTGCAGACTCGAGCCAGAAAGCGTATTCAGTAAGTGCGTTGTCCTGTCATAGGTTCTCACAATCAGTGAAAGGCAATCACTGGCACAAGTCTTGCCTGGACTATTCCAGGACATGTTGGGTACAGTTAATATTTTATGTTTATCATATTACAATATTGCTCTCCTCTGCTGCAGAATGTAATTCTTACACTTGACTATGACATATAAATCAGCCCTTTGTTACTACAGTAATACAGTTGACCCATTCATTACAAGGAAGAACGAGACTTTCAATGCTTGCTCTTCGTTTTCTTTAGGTTTGTTGATGCTGATATTACCAGTCCAACCCAAACAGTCCAATCAGATTCCTCAATATGTTCAGATTAGTATTGACATGCCCATTTTTATTTATTCGGCATACTATTTCTCCCACGGTTAGAGGACACTCCTCATTGCAGCTTAATGTTCTAAGTTTGGTAGTCTTCCTGGAGGCACAAACCTTTCATCAGTGATCACCATTCGGTGGCATTTTGCAGATTGTTTGTTTTTTTCAAAACTCTTAGAGAAACTTTCAAAATTAAACTTTTTATAAGAAAGTCCATTATGCTAAGTGCTTCCACTAACACCTAGCTTCCTCTGTGTGTGTTTTTGTCTTCTAGTTCCAGGTTAACACTTGCCTGTTTGAGGCTTCAGATATAACTCTCTGCTAGAAAACCTCTTCTCAATCTTGTATAGGCACAAGTAGGCCCTTTTCACCCCTGACCGTTTTTATGAAGATCTTCCACCATCAGTGCGAGCGTTTTGAGGTCCATTTCTTGTATGAAACCATGTATGCACTTTTTTTTGAACAAGAAAATGTGCAAGAAGTCATTGTAATGTTATTAAAACAAGGCATTATCTCTTTGCAAAATTGTATTGACCTCCTTAGGAAAAGGAGTGACAGACAAAAAGGGGCACAAATATAATATAATCAGAGTCTCACACATGCATTGGTAAGTGGTTAATTTATTATAACGCTCACTAAAATAAAGCCCAAATCTATGACATTTAAAGAAGAAAAATTGTAGCATTATACAATATTAACACAATAATAGCATTCGCATCTGATGCATTATGAAATAACAACTATATGCATGATGTGTGTTATGGGGATTTGTAATAAGCCATAATAATTATGCAGATATTGGTACAATAGCATGCGCATCTCTTATCCCTAAAAGCAGCGTTACGACAATTCACGGGGAACCTTTCACTAGATCAGTTGTATCATTTTCTGTTTGTCAATACAACTGGGAATTAGAACAAACATTAGAAACAATAAGTACTTGAAATACCAGATTTTCTGAAGAGGAACTGGCACTGTTAATGTAACAAAAAAACAAACCCTGTTATCCAGAAGATAAAATGCGACTTCTTTGCTGCTGATAACTTGGTTAAATGGATGGCTGTGAGATTTTACAAAAATCACAAGAAGAGGCTCTGCAGATAAGTGGATTTATTTGTTGTCGTTTTTACAGGGAGAAATTGATGGACTGGAAGGAGTTCTTGCTGGTGAAGAGTAAAAGAAATATCACCATGGTCACATATCCTTTTTACTCCTGATCCGTTTCATTTTGTTTTAGTTTAATATACCAGTATTGATTATCGTAACTGCCTTTTAATGTCTAGTGATTTAGCCGCTTACAGGAACGTGTTTTCTAATTGAGGCCTAACATCACCTACTTTCGCCTACATTTTTACATTTGGCTTCCAGTTCAGAGTTTAGTAGTTAAGTCACTAATTGTGAGCAAGGTAGAATGGATCATTGTCTACTGGGATGGTATTTTCATGAATCACAATTACATTTTATTTTTTTACTTAGTATATGTAAAAAAATTTTTTTTTAAACTATAGTGTATTTTTTGGCTGATGACGTAAATATTTCTGGTTAGATTTTTATCTTCTATTTTCCTTTCTATTCATCCTCCACCACTCACTATGAAAATACTATAATTTTATTAAATTGAACAATGTTTCCATGTCATGATTGGAGTTAGCAGACGCTAATCTCCATCCTTTGTGCAATATCTAATGCGCTGGCTCTAGGTGATGACCCTTGATCACTGTGTCTTCTTGTTGCCATCGTAAGTTAGCGGGAGCTTAGGTGAGCGGAAGTTGGCTTACATCTGTAACGGATCACCTGGCACCCCAACTGGGTACCTCCGTTGAAGGATGCTCCTGGCACTTCCTGATGGCTCCAAGCACTCCAGCCGACACGATAATCACCGTAAATTCCTTCCAAGAGCAAGACGGGAACAAGCTCTTAAAAGAGCTTAGAAGTGATTATCCAAGGGAGCATGCAGAGCATAGCAATCCCTTGTAGTGATATAGCAATTCCTCCAATAAGAGACAGGACTCTAGATTGAGAGTGAAGAAGAACTGTTTTACTTGGCACCACAGGGCTTTCTTTTATGCAGGTTTTCCCTGCATAGGACCACCCACAGGGTTTTGTAAAACAACCAATAACATACGTACATTACAATAAAACACTGCCAGAAATTACACACACATCCTCCCCTCGGCCTGTTATAGAATTACGGAACACAATGGGCTAAAGTAATTATCACAGGCAGGAAAAATATACTTTTTACACATACACTGTAAAATATACATTCAATCTTCATAATTTTCTTCATAAAATTACATATTCTAACTCAGCACACTTTAATTACAAATATATCCAATATTCAGCCAATTCCTTCTAGTATATAAAAAGTTAGCTGGAAGTCCTTTATGACCAACCGCAGGCACATTTTCCTGCCCAAAACTGTTCCATAGATTTGGGCTGTGCGATCGGTCTATTTTGTACAGAAAAATGTCCCATTTGAATGCACAAACTAGGCCGTTCGTGCATTTGGCTCAGTATAACAGTGAGTTCAAACAGCTGAACGGGACTTAGTCTCTGTAGCTGAAAACTGAATGGAGGAGAAGGTAAGGGTCAGCGGTGTTCGTGGAACTGTATAGCCGATTTCAGTTCCATGAATTTGACCTCGTTCAAATGAACAAACATATCCTAACCTCATTAGAAAAGGGTTTAATGTGTAACTAAGTAAAGAAAGAAAAAAACAAAAACAGTAGACCAGAACTAGAGACTCCTGATTAGTGGCATCTAATATCTTAATTTTTCTAAATTTCACCTGATCATGTGCCCTCAGATCACCGAACATTCAATAACCGGGTTGTCCCAACCTGTCCTAATATGGAGTCAGGTTTTTGGCATTATATAAATAAGACCTTGTGCTGTCATATAGCTCTGTGTTAGCATGTTTCCTGCCAACGAACGTTTTTATATCTATCGTGTGTATCCTAAGAACGCTTCTTTGTTGCTTCACATTTTGTTTTTGTTTTCTTGCTGTGAAGGTTGTTGTAGGACCTTCTTTAATAATAACAATGCATGTATGAGTTCAGTTCCTGTGCTTTACAAATAATCTCTTCTAGGGAATATTTTAGATGAAATATCTGTCTAGCTCTGCTTTGTGAAACTAAACTGGCTTGTCATTTTTATTTTATTATTTATAAGGTCCTTTAGTAGATGTTTGTAGCTCCTGTTGTCAGCCAAAAATTTTAAAACTATTTGGTTACACTCATTTAAAGGGACCCATTGCTTTTATTGAACTAATATCATCCCCTCTGGTGACTTCCATCGAAGCCAGGAACCCATCTCTGATTTTCAGTAATATTCTATGAGGGATTAGCTTGTGTGTGACATGCATGTTGCTAACTGTTCAATAATGGATTGTTGTGGAGTAGAACTGTAAGCAGCATCTCATTAATTGAAAGTTAATCATCTTGTACAACCCATTGGCGGCTTCAATTAATTTTGGAACTTTCCTGGTATCTTTTTCTTCACGTAATTAAAGTGCGACTTGCATTCTAAAACAAGTGATTATTCATGGCTTTCTTCAACGAAAGTGCAGTGGCTTATGGGAAAAGTACAGTTGTATGTATGTATGTCTCCTGCTTCCTCTTGGAAGAGGGGGGAAAAAAGGGGTGGAGCTATTGTTCAAGGTGTTTTCAAAAATGTATAATTTTTACAAGGGGATTCAAGTAGCCTTTTACATTTTAAAACTGTATTTTGCTGTTCCATAGTGGGCATTTTATAGGAAAAAACATTTGGCACCTTGCAAAAATCAGGATTTAAAAAAAATATATATTTTTTTGTTTGTTAATTTTTTTTCAATATTCTAAGATGCACTAAACATACAGAAATTTCATGTGTTGGAAGCAGGAAAAATGGGAAAGCGAAAAGATCTGAGTGACTTTGACAAATGCCAAATAATGATGGCTAGACGACTGGGTTGGAGCATCTCCAAAACGGCAAGTCTTGTTTCCAATATGCAGTGGTTAGTACTTAGCAAAAGCGGTGTGAGGTAGGACAACTGGTGAACTGGCGTCAGGATCGTGGGCGCCCAAGGCTCATTGATACACCTGGGGCAGTAAAAGCCATAAGATCTGGTCCGATCAAACAGAAGAGCTACTGTAGCTCAAATTGCTGAAAAACGTAATGCTGGCCGTGATAGAAAGATGTCAGAACACACAACGCATCGTAATTTGCTTTGTCTGTTGCGGCGTAGCCACAGACTGGTCAGAGTGCCCATGATGACCATGGTCTAACTCCAAAAGCGCGGTCAATGGGGATGTGAGTGTCAGAACTAAACCATGGAGCAATGGATGAAGGTTGTCTGGTTTGATGAATCACATTTTCTTTTAGATAAGTTGGATGGCTGGCTCTGTGTGTGTCGTTTACCTGGGGAAGAGATGGCAGCAGGATGCATTATAGGAAGAAGGCAGGATGGTGGAGTAAGTGTTAAACTTTGGGCAATGTTCTGCTGGGAAACCTTGGGTTCTGGCATTCATGTGGACATTACTTTAATACGTACACCCTACCTAGAGATTGTTGCAGAGCACGTACACCCCTTCATGGTAATGGTGTTTCCTGTTGGCTGTGGCCTCTCTCAGCAGGATAATGCGCCCTGCCACCTTGCAAAAATTGTTCAGGAATGGTTTGAGGAACACACCGAGGAGAGGTACTCCCTGTATCTATTATACAGTATATCCATTACCTGTTGTATCTGTATTTGGGTTCGGCAGGGATAACACTCAGATACTTTGTTGCTTTTCACATAGTGTCTGGGGAAATTCCTCTGACCCATCTTTGCATTTACAAGTTGTGTGGTTACATTTGTTTTCTTTGAGAGATTTACTGTTTCTATATTATCATAGCAGGTTTAGGTCATTTTGATTTTGATTTTTATGTTCATTATTTTTATCCAATTTTATTGAATAAAATATTGGTTTATTTGTATATTCATATTAATAATTGTTTAAGGTTTTTTGATTAACGAGCGCACACGCTTTGTTTAACTTTTGAGCTTATACTCCGTTACAGTCGCTGGTGGATGTGTGTATCTGCTCTTATATTTATTTTTATGTTTTTATATACTACACCTTTATTATACTTTTTATGGTTTGAGGAACATCACACAGAGTTCAAGGTGTTGACTCGGCCTCCAAATTCTCCAGATCTCACCCTAATTAGGCATTTGTGGGATGTGCTGGAACAACAAATCCAATCCATGGAGGTCCCTCTTTGCAACTTGCAGGACTTAAAGTTTCTGAAGCTAATGTCTTAGTGCCAGATTCCATAGGACACGTTCAGAGTGAAAACATAGCAAAGCTATTAAAGGTGTGAGGACCATGTTGGTATACTTGTTACCAGATAATAATTGGGGTTTTCACATAGATGGAGAGGCATGGTCTATATATTAAAGGGGAGCAGGGAGATTTTGGAAAATATTGTACTAAAATGTATCCCACATATACCAGTCTATGCGGTGGGATATGGGCCACTCATCCCTGGCTGCAGGCTGGCTTTCGGGCTCTACAGATTTTTTGTTTGTATAGGAATGTAAACCTGGAGTGCAGTGCTATCACACCATTATACACATATGCTCTTTGTTAGGCAAGAAGTATTGTATGCCCCACCTCACAACTTGCCGAACTTAAGGGACCTGCTGCTAATGTCTTGCTACCAGATACCCCAGGATCAGTTCAAAGGTTTTGTGTAGTCCGTGTCTCGAAGCATCAGAGCTGTTTTGGAAGGACAAAGGGGGACCTACATAACTGTAGGCTGGTGGTTTTATTGTTGTGGCTGGTCAGTATACATTTGATCACATATCTAATAATATTTATTTATTTATAAAATATTTTACCAGGAAAGATACATTGAGATTTCTCTTGTTTTCAAGTATGTCCTGGGTCCACAAAATATTGCATTTCAGCAATGCTTTTATAAGACATCCGCAAAAAAAAAAAAAAAAAGTAGATATGTTTGACAGCTCAGCCATTCCCCTGATGGATTTTACAGCAATTGTATTCCAGAAAGGATACATTATATATTTTATTTTAATTGTTTTATGACGTTTACTGATATTTGACAGAAGATGGCGCTATATGCACTGCAGGTTTTCTTTTATTATCATTTATCATTTTATGGTTGCAAAGCCAAAAACAAATTAAGAGTTAGCCTTATGGGTTGTATTATGGCTTGTTGTTGTTATATATTTATAAAGCAGTGTAAAACGGGATTTTCCAATACCATGAATAAACATTACCGGTATTGAAGGCTTTTTAGTTTACTTCTCTATAACAAGAATCAAATCAAATCAGCTGCCTTCTTGTTGTATATGTTGTATTTGATCCTCTGCAGTATAGATATTTCAGTTATGTTATGTTTGCATTGAGTTCCAAGTGAATGTCTGGCTCAGAGATGATCGTTCTGAAAGACTGTTAGATTGTGTTCGTTCATTCTTGATTGATGGATTTGCTTTCTCTAAAAGACCAGGGAAGAAGCTGTTGTTCCAGATTGTTGGTCTGTGTCTGTAAATTCAGTTATACTACAAATAATGTAACACATTCTCTAATATAAATAAACCAGTGATAAGATGATATCACAATAGCAGATCTGCCTTCCAATGGTTAAATCTTGGAATGACTACCTTAATCCTCCTGATAAGTATAATAATTTCTTATTTTTATCAGTGTTGGCAGCTGTGAAATTACCTGGTAACATTTGAACTTGAAGTGGTTTCTCTTTATATATAGATATCACAAATTTGTGGCTCCATTGTTGCCTCCAGAACAAAACAATGGCCTAAAAACCAGCGAAAAGATACAGTACTCCTCCTCCTCATTTCTTTTTTTTATTATAAACTAACAGCAGGCAACTTTTCAGCCCAACAAGTGTCTTTTGAACCCGTAAAGGGACACTACTCACTGCAATTTTATGTCCGTGCAGAGGCACATCTGTAGGAGTTAGGTGGTAGCGACCTCCATAAATTTTGTTCAGAGAACTTTTTCCTATAGCAAATCAAAGATAACGACAAAGAAAAACTACTTGCACCCACCCATAAATGTACTCACTCCTGTGATGGAGCAAAACAGACTCTGGCTCTGTAACCAACTTACAACTCTGTAGAAAATAGTCTAGAACTCAACAGTAGGTGAAATGCAACCAACATTTATTGAGGTTCTTACAGAACACAGAACAACATTTTGACCTAGTGATAGGTCTTTCTCAACTAAGCTTTATCTATAGACGGAAACATTGTTCTGTTAGCTACGAGGACCTCAATAAATTTGTAGTGCATATCACCTACTGCTGAGTCAAAAAGATTTATTTTTTTAACATAATGGCATGTCAGGCTCAGAAACTACTAATGCATCTTGAATATTATTAGAATAAATGATGCCAAATACTTAATTACAATTCTAGGTTTCATACAGTTAATGGCATTTTGAATTTACATGAGATCTTAAAGTTTGTTGACTTCATAGATTGAAACAAAATCAGATCACAACCATAAAGCTCTTAAATGGCCTTCATTCCACACTGGTGCACGCTGTTGTGTTACACGTGGCTCACTCTCCGTCCTATACAGATTGACATGGCTCATGGAATAGCACAGACCTGGGTCTACTCTAAACCATAGCTGCTATGACTAGGCTAACAGAAGACTGTATCAGTGTGGGGCACGTCTAAAACTTGTAATACACGTTGAATATGAGACTTTCCCTGCTCTTTTAGGTCCCCAAAATGCACTATCCATTATATACCCTGGATCCCAGAAATACTAGGAAGGTATGTTCTGATTTATAAATGACCTGTATAAAGATGTGACCCATGTATAGGTCTTTGTTAAGCCTGGTTACTCATAAGGAAGTGTCACTATGAACTAAACACAGTCTGATGTCCATATCGGGTACCCTAACTAGGGCCTCAATTTTAAAAAGCTTTTCCAAATAATTCAATAGTGTCAGAAAAACTTTCCAAATTACCTGTCTACAGAAGTCACCATTAAAGGGACACTATGGGTCCTTTTACCACAACCTCTCATTGATGTTATCTGTGTGCATTGTAAAACATTGCAGTTTCAGATAAACTCTTGAGTTTGTCTCCATGAAACCATACTTTGCATGAGGTCATTCAGCATGTTGGAAACCCCCATAGAAAAGCATTCAGTCAACATTTTCCTATGGGAGAAGGCCTAATGCTCGAGTGGTGCTTGCTGCACATGTGAATTGGCTGATGACGTCCGGACATTGGTGCTGAAATCAGGAAAGATAAAAAAGGTTATTTTTAGACCTTTAATTGCTGGGAAGTAGATGCAGAAGGTTCCTATAGTGTTAGTAATATGACGTTGTATTGAATAAAACATTGAAAATCACATAAAACTTTGATGCTAAGTTTTATTAATTTATAGTAAAGAGTTGGCTAATTACATCATAGTCAAGTTTAGCCCAGTCACAATCATGGCACACATTGCATCGGAGGACAAGAAACTCCTGCATTTACTATCTTCAATGGCAGAAAAAGGTCAGCACTCAGTGATTGACAGGCAGTCGATATGGAGGCACTCATGTCCAGGATAGAGGTACACAACATGATGTGGATTCCTAGAATAATTTTCATTTTTCAGACTTCATAAACGTATATTTGTTAAATGTAGCCGATAAGTAAACATAATGTTAAAAATCTTAGGAGTGATTATATATTTTTTTTTTTCATCAGCGCCAGCTTCACACCTTCAGGTGCTTCTGAAATTGTAGATAATCTTAAAAATGTAATCTGAAAAAATATGTTTATAGGATGCACCATTAAGGTGAGGATTCATAATCTATTTTCTTTAACCTAAGGGTTCACTTACTTGGGGGACTTCCCAGGTCTGGTGCATTTTATCTATGTAGATCGCACTGTAGGACAAATGGTGGCTCCTTCTATGAACATTGATGATAAATCTTCTTCAGAGCTTGGAAACAGCCTGATGGCTAATTTCATAAAACACAAGGTATTTGTATTGAAGGTTTGTGTGCGTACAGAACTCTTAGTAAGCGAAATGAACAGATGAGTCTGCATTCCTCCAAGAAAACAAGTTTAACAAAGCGTAACAGAAGGGTTCGCAATAGTTCAAGGCTTCAGAAATGAGCCTGAGGTTACAGGCATTTGTAATAAACTATAGGATCTGCGAAAAGAGACAAGTTGAATGGATTTCAAATTCTGTGTTGTTAGAGTTATGCGTTCAAAGAATTCCTCTCCCTGTGTCAATAACTGCTGTTCAATATAATGTGATACCAAGCTACTCTGTCTATATAAAATGTTCCATCGCTTAGAAAAATATTCACTTAACCACATTATGCTCATCCCAGTGCAGGGCAAGAATATTTTTTTTTTTTACAAGGCTTAGCAATTGTTCGCGTCCTACAGAAAATACAAACAACCCTTAAACTAAACAATTAATTAACTAAATGTATTAACTAAAATAAATTAACTAGAATATGTGTGTCCATTTCTACTATTTTAGCCTAAACCGTAATTTAGAACAGTAGTTCAGTAAACAGAAAACGGGTTAGGGGTTTCGCATACATTTTTAATGTACCATAAGTATTAAGGATGGAAGTGTTGTAGCATATATTGTACCTACTAAAAATTTAGTTTCAAAGTCTGGAAATCCTAACATAATAGTATTTGGCTTGGTCAAGTCATGTGAGTATTAGAGGGCTGATAAGAGCATTACTTTGTTCTGACATTACAATTATTAGTATTAGTGGGTTTATAAACCATTAGGACCATTGAGGTATAAAGGGGTTGGTTAGGTTTAACAGTTGTATGTACAGAATACATGTATAATCTATATGTCTTTTTTTTTAAGGTTTGGTCCCTTATTGGGATGTCTCGACGATATCTTCAGAAAGGATACACTACCGTAACGTTTCGAGATGGCGATTATTTTTGCTGTTACTTCCTCTGGTTCGAGAACGAAGCTGTGAGTTTGGGCCATGTTTCTTTACAAACTTCTAAACTAACAGGGTCATTCACTAAAAGCCGAGTGTCCCCAAACTGATTGGAGCAAAACCAATCAGTGCAGTATGGTGCCATTCTGACCCAAAATCCTGAGCTTTTTCACAATATTTAACTTTGTCCAGATTTTTCACAGTTGACTCCAAATGAGCCTGAATTTTGTCTGGAATAAAGTTGTACCAAAAGTTACCAGATTGTTTAAATACGGGGCCTGGATTTTAAAAATCAGAACTATTACCCACTGGCAGTATTAGCAACTAGCTAGCAAATGTTAAAAAAATAAATAAAATACTTTTGCAGAGCAAGGGTTAATCATTCGATTTAAAACGTGAATGTAAAAATCCAATGGGGTTCAGTGTAACCTCTATATTAGTATAAGGAACTTGTAAAACCTCCCTTATGCCCCACCTGCCATGCCACAAGGGGGACATATGTATTAAACAGTGAGCAGCCAGCGTATGTAAACTAATGACTGGGCAATCGCTAGAAAGGCCCTATCCCATGGTACTACCTTGGTACTGTAAAACCCCACTGTCTCTGTAAATACAGTTTACTTCTGGCAGTCTGGGGGGGGGGGACCAACTATAAATTGCTTTTTAAAGCAACAAATCAGAGGACAGATTTTCCATCAGGGTTCCGATTAAGTAAAGGTCTAAAGCTATATTTTACGCTGACTGTAAACATGTAGGCATGGGTAAATAGTAGCGTTATCTTGTTTGAATTACTCCATCCCAGTCCTTTCTATACTGACCAGTCTATTTAATACTTACTTTTCTATAGATGTAAATCCAACCCTGTTTACAGGTAATGTGCCAGGTGAGTGGACATACCATTGTCTCATGGGGCGAACATTTTTATTATTTTTATTATTGCCATTTATATAGCGCCAACAGATTCCGTAGGGCTTTACAATATTATGAGAGGGGGTATTTAACTATAAATAGGACAATAGGACAATTACAAAAACTTATGGGAACAATAGGTTGAAGAGGACCCTGCTCAATCGAGCTTACATTCTATAGGAGGTGGGGTGTAAAACTCAATAGGACAGGAATTTTCAGTCAGATAAGGTGGGCTGCCCTTTAGGAGAGAGCAGGAGACAGGTATGTGAGGTAGAGGTTAGTCTTGGAGGCCATAAGCTTTCCTAAAGAGATAGGTTTTAAGGCACTTCTTACACATATTATCACTGTTTCCAGGGGCCTAACTAGGATCCACAGGGCTCTTGGGTACAGGTATTAAAAAAAGGGCTCCCTTAATCAGTCCTTCCTAAAGAATACACTTTTAGTGGTATGTGTGTGGTAGCTGGGTTTGATTGTAATATATAGGTGTGGAGTTGGCTAAGTGTGAATGTGTGTGAAGTTAAGTGAAATTGTGTAGTGGGGTTGTATATATTTCCCTCCCCCCACCCCTCTTGCTTAGATTTTTGCAGGAAGGAAGAGGGTATAACCCCTGGGGGACCAGTGGAGGTATAATCAGAACTTTGCCATGGAAACCTGTTGGTAGTCCTGACTTTTTATTTTTTATTTTTTTTTAAGCACCAGAACTGCAAGTGCTCAAAGTGTTCTGCAGTAATGTATTATTTAGTATTCATTGGCATCATACTAAACAATGGTTCTCCTAGGAGGGCTGGAGACTCCTCTCTGACAGGTGGACCTCCAGGGCCCAGTTGCAGTAGCAACCATTGTGACTCTGATAGTTCCACCTTCAACTGCATACACACAGCTCAACAAACCGCGTAAATCATTGCAATTATATCCAACACACTTTTGTTTAGATTTAATAATAACGTAAAGTTAAATTCCTTTTTTTTTTTTAATTTATACAGGGTGATAAGCTTGAAGTAATTGATGTTCCCGTCCTAGGAGATGATTCGGCTCCTATAGGCATGCTAGCAGGCGAATATTACAGGTGAATATCTGTGATGGCAACAATAAATTGTTCAGAATTATTAGAGCTTGTTCTGTCTTTGAACAGGTATATATTCTCCATATGGTTAGAATCCACTTTTTTTTTTTAATATAAATATATATATTTCCCCCATTATGAATGTTGTTCTCGCTGTGTTCACAGATATTAACAAGAATATTATTTCTAGGCTTTTCTTGTGAAATGCTCCTGTGCATTGCCTGGTTTTAGTTCCCTTCTGCATCTTTAGATTAAATGTTAATTAAACTCAAAATGAGTCACGTCGTGCACAGTTTGAAACACAGCACGAGAGTTCCACTTTGTTTAACCTAGTTTAATAAAGCTCAGGGCCGTATACAATAACGTGACACATCTTTCTGTCTGCAGAGACAAAGGATTCAAAAGCGCACCTTATTGCAACGACAGTATATTGTACTAACAGTTCAAAATGAACACTAGTTAAGATGTTCTATAGTCTGTTACTGAAGGCATTGTCATGAAAAAATTTATTTTATAAGAATGTTGTGATTTTAAGAAATGTTTAATTTTTGTCTTCAAGCAGACATGTATATACCCTAATTGATGCAAAGTACACAATGGGTGAATTAGATTAATTTTGCTATGCTTTAGGGCACATTACTTGTGTACACCTCTGGGGTTTTTTTGTTTTGTATTCTTTGTAACTTTGTAACTTTCTAATTTTTAGGAAGCTACTTCGCTACTACAGTAAGAATCATCATATGGAATTGGTAAAATGCTATGAACTGCTGACGATGCACTTGGGAATCATTCCCCCAGAACATGTGATCCAGCAATGTCAAGACCTCACTCGCATTCTCTGGGAGCCTTCTCGCATCCCACTTCTATAAAATGATGGGAAGGCTAGCACAAACCAGCCAGTAAATTACTCTGGACAATCAACCTCCAGAGCTTTACATGTTTAATCTGCCAGGATGCCTCTAGTTACAGTGCTAGCAATGTAGGCTATGGTGGAGTTTATTGTTCATGGGTCAGAATATCGCCTGCCAAACCGCTAGGGATTGCACTTCATACGTGTATTTTATATCTCATATTGTGGCAGTGTTCTGAGTACTTGTGATACCATTATGATTTGCTTCCAACAAGTGATGACCTTTCAAATTGTGTAAAGAAGCAAAGGGACAGTCAGATATTAACACGACTATTGCTTACTTTTATTGGGTAAGTAGAAATAAAGTTTAGATGAAATTTGAGGATGACAAATTAGGTGACTAGTTGATGCTGTATTCTGCTGCAAAATACTTAACAAAAGTTTAGATGAAAAAAATATAGTTTCCTGCAGATTCTTGCTCCTCTCAAGATCTTGTCCACAAATAGATGAACTGGGATGCGTGCTTGGGAATTGTGGTCATTTGCTGGTTAGTGTGTAGCAATGACGTGCCGTGTGTGTACTTTATCTATAGGCTGATGGCAGGTCAAGGTGAAAGTAGGGGGTGAAAATTAGAATCAAAGTTAATCAATTTCATGGTTAGTTAATATTTAATGCACTTGCTATAATTTTCGATAAATTGAAAAAGTGTGAATTTAGTTGCCTTTTGTGTAAACACAAATCTCACAAAATAGCTAAAAATAATAAGCAGGTGAAAAATGAGTTTGCCTCTCAATGACTCTCTAGTAAAACAGCAATGTAATAAAGTGTGTAAAAAAAACAACTAATGTTTTGCTGTAAAGAAATAAAAAGGCTAATATCTACCCCTTCCCCCTCCCCCTCATTTGGGTGAAAAACAAAAATGAATGGTTCACATTACCTCCGAACACTATATATGTATAATATAACGCTATTTTTAGACTGTCCACTCACGTTTCATAGAGCCATGTTTGTCCTGGCTCTAAGTGTAAACAGCTTATTGTGTTTGTGTTGCCATAAACAGAGCCAGAAAATATTTACGCTTAGCAGTATTATTCACTAGGACTTATAAGTGAGGACTGATGGGAATTCAACGTTAACCTAATGTGTATTTTAAATTTAAGGTCAAAGTAGCCGAACTGGGACCAAAACTTTTTGGTCTTAAAATTGGAATTCATTTTGAAATTCTCTTTAACCCCTTAAGGATACAACTTTAAACGTAAAAGGCTAGCAAGACGGAAAATTTCCATCATGTGTCCTTAAGTGGTTCACATTATTGAATAACCCTGCTAATGGCAGGTCAAACATGGCTCTATGAAGTGTAAATTTTCATTTTTGCACCTTTAATCATAATGGAAAGTCCTAATTTTTCCTTTTTGTGTTAGGAGAACATAGTTCATGTTATTCTAGTGCAAATGAAATGTTTGTGTGAATCTCTGAAAGACAATTATATAGGTTTTCCACATTAAAATTATACAGGCGTTTTTGATCTAAAATTGAAAATAAGTAATCGTTTTGATATATTGTACTGTCCCTTTAAATGTCTTATGTGCTCCATCTATATGTGATTCATCAGATTTTGTACAATTTGAATGGGTGTTTGAGGTACTACGTGTAACACACTGCATTTTTGTAAACTAATAAACCCACCATTTTGATGCATAGGATTTTAGTCTTTACTACCAACTTCATATGCAAAGTTCTGAGTTACACTTAAAAGAGAAACTATAGTGTCGGGAAAATAAAGTTGTTTTCCTGCCCCCTTCCTCCCTGTGGTGCAGAAGGTGGGTTTTTTTTGTTTTTTTTAATAAAAACCTTCTGGGGGCCAGGGTCTAACCATTATGGCCGATGGACGTGCTTGATGTGAGCTCCTCATACATAGCAGGTGACTGCAGGTGTACCACGGCTGCTCCGTACTCCCCCCCTCTCTGCCCCCTGGACCGGTGGGGGAATATCCTGGCCCCACTGGAGGAAAAAGCTATTGAGCACTCACAGTACCACTGCAGCAGCCTGCTCCGTTACAACAAGCTCTTGTGATAATGGCCATTGCGCCGATGGAGCAAATTATGAAGAACTGGGAAAATAAGTTTTAGCCACCTTTGATGAGATCTGTGCAGCATTCTGGTCACGGATTGAATCCCGAACAGAGCTGACACAACTACCCACAACCTTTGATAAACAGCCGCCTATGATGGCTGGCCTCGCAGTATGCCCTACATCTTTCTTTCAGCTTACCTCTGAGATGGCAATATCCCATCTTCTGGCATAGGCTGAGCAACCATGTGGACATACTGCAGTCATCTTGCTGCTAAGCCCATTACCCTTGCTTGCTGCATATTATTATTAGTGTGATGTCAAACCTAGAGGTATATGGAGCATAGTTGAGGAGGAAGCCTGAGAGCACTCTACATGGGCCAAATAGGCATAATATGTCTGACTCTGGCTGAGCCAGCTACTAACAATATACTGCAAGCTAGATATGGTGATGTAGGCTACCTACGCTCTTAAAGGGACACTATAGTCACTTGAACAACTTTAGCTTATTGAAGCAGTTTTGGTGTATAGAACATGCCCCTGCAGCCTCACTGCTCAATCCTCTGCCATTTAGGAGTTAAATCCCTTTGTTTATGAACCCTAGTCACACCTCCCTGCATGTGACTTGCTCAGCCTTCCATAAACACTTCCTGTAAAGAGAGCCCTATTTAGGCTTTCTTTATTGCAAGTTCTGTTTAATTAAGATTTTCTTATCCCCTATGTTAATAGCTTGCTAGACCCTGCAAGAGCCTCCTGTATGTGATTAAAGTTCAATTTAGAGATTGAGATACAATTATTTAAGGTAAATTACATCTGTTTGAAAGTGAAACCAGTTTTTTTTTCATGCAGGCTCTGTCAGTCATAGCCAGGGGAGGTGTGGCTAGGGCTGCATAAACAGAAAAAAAAGTGATTTAACTCTCACTAAGTCTCACTAAGTAAATAAACCCGTATACGTGACTTTGACTGCTCCATTGTGTCTGCATTTTATAACCGATAGGAGGTTAGCTTTTTTTTTGTACTTGTTGTTGTCTCTAGTCAAGTATGTGACAGTGATTTGAATTCTAGAATAATTTAAAACCACACATCAGAAATTGGCTTTGAATTTAAGTTCTTTAGGATTTTTTTTTTAATGGTATCTCTAAAATATATAGTTCTAGCTACAGTACAAACACTAAACAGAAAATTTCCATATGTTTTAAGCAAATATTTGAAATTGTCTCCATGTACCATTTAAGATGGAAAAAAAAAAACAATTTGTTTTTCCATTGATATGTGTCAGTGGAGTGCCAGACTAATTTATACTCCCTGCAGCTCTGAAACATTCTATTTGATTATTATCTGGTGGAGAATAAAGGCAATTAAAGGTGAACTGTTACTGCCTGGTATTTTAATATTCTGTCTATTTATCCCCTATATTTAATAAATAAGGGCATATTCGATCTGAAGAAAATGATAGAAATTCACACTGTTGTATTTGCCTTTCATCTTGTCAATCACTGTCATTTGTTGTCATTGATTATATGCCTAAATTTTATATTTTTGGATATGTTTTTCAAATGATTTAATATTTTTGGATAAACTCCTAAAATGTAAGATTTTGAAAAATATATTTTAATGCTTTCATATTTTTTTTTATTTCGATGGATTTTTTTTTTATTATTTTTTTTTGCATGGTATAATTTTTGCTGTCTTCTTATTTTGATAAAAATAATTAATGTAAACTTTTTATCCAAAACATATTAAATAATTTAAAAGCTTGTGCAAAAATATAAATTTGAGGCCCTAGATATAAGAGGAGGAGAAAGGTGAAATACTGAAAAACAAAAAGTTAATATAAATATACATTTCAAATAAAATGAGGCATCCCTTGAAACAAAGATTAGCATGATTTAGGTTATACAGTAAATTATAATTTACATATTTACATTATTTCACAGTTTTATTCCATTGTGAAATTTCCAAAGCACACTCCGAACACTATAACCATTACTACTCCACTGAAGTGATTGTGGTGCCCTCACTGCCCCTAAGGTATGTAGTCAACAATTTGGGGTCTGGCAGGAGCCTTCCACTCAGCTGACAGCGCTCTGTCTCCGTTAAGTCCATTGGTGCCAGGCTTAGTGATCACCTGATGCTTATTCAAACAGCTTGACCAGTGCTCCTCAACCCTCTCCTCAAGGCACATGTAACCATCCAGGATTTAGGGATTACCCGGGTGTGTCTAAGGTGTTTAAGAAATAAAAATAAATAAATCTTAGACTCTAAGGTTTTTTTTTCTTTTCTAAACACCTTAGACACAACCGGGTATTCCCTAAATCCTGGACGGTTACATGTGCCGTGAGGAGCACTGAGCTTGACTACGTAAAATGGTGAGTGCCAGGGCACTGATGACAGCATAACCATTACAGCGTGCTGTAGTTATGGTTCCTTTTAGGTCTGTTACTATATACAACCCAGGCTGCTAGTAAGTGAAAAGTATTATGTTTCTCGTTGATGACTTAAGTTGATGACTTAAAGGTAGGCAGACAATGTAATAGAGCAGCAGGAAATGCTAGCAGAATGCTTGGTTGTATAGGGAGAGGTATTAGCAGTAGAAAGAGGGAAGTGCTCATGCCATTGTACAGAACACTGGTGAGACCTCACTTGGAGTATTGTACACAGTACTGGAGACCGTATCTTCAGAAGGATATTGATACCTTAGAGAGGGTTCAGAGAAGGGCTACTAAACTGGTTCATGGATTGCGGGATAAAACTTACCAGGAAAGGTTAAAGGATCTTAACATGTATAGCTTGGAGGAAAGACGAGACAGGGGGGATATGATAGAAACATTTAAATATATAAAGGGAATCAACACAGTAAAGGAGGAGACTATATTTAAAAGAAGAAAAACTACCACAACAAGAGGACATAGTCTTAAATTAGAGGGACAAAGGTTTAAAAATAATATC